CACTGAAAATGAATTAATTGTACAAAAACACCTTGGATGAATCTTCATGACAGAGTAGAAGAGTGTTAGCAAATACTAGGTATACTTGATATTTCTGCAGTATTTATAAGTATGTGTATCTGCCACAATTGTAACTGGGGTTGTTTCTGGGAAATGTGATTACTGGCTATTTTTCTTTTCTCATGCATTTATATGTGCGCATGCAATGAGGGCATATGTGTGTGAACCTCTATATTTTCCAAACTTTCTGTCATAATCATGCATTACCTTTGTAATTAGAAAACACAACTTAACAATAAATAAATGCAACACCAATGAAGAGAAAACACTTAAATAGAATTTATATAAATTTATTTGGTTGCAGGGAACATAAGAAAAAAATACGCTTGCCCAGCACTTCATCACTGTATTTTGGGTTTTTATGAAATTCAGCTCCATTTGACATAAGCAATGATTATCTTCTCAAACACACCACCCATCAATTTTACAGCATCATTCTTTTTCCCCAAAGCAATAGATTGTATGCTGTTCTCAGTGCACTCCAAGCCATTCACTCATTTCACCTATGCTCTAAAGGTACAAAGTTTCCCCTCTTTAAACACACGAGGGGGCGCCTATGAAGCACGGACAGAGATGAGAACAAACCATTATTGGTTAAGGATCAATCGCAACCATCTACAGAAGCCAAAAGATAAGATTAAAACTGCCATTTGCAATAGGGGCAGCAGTGGGACCACCTTTGAATCCTGCACTCCCAAACAGGTCATGTTTCCGAGTAAGAAAAGGCATGTAGAACGCCAGCCTGTCTGCACATCCTCTGAAAGATGGCACGTGTCATCCTGATCGAAGACACCGGAGGGGGCACGATACATATTCAACTATCTTTACTGACTAGTGATTCTATTATTTTTATTTAAGATAATTTTTTAAAGCACTCTGGGGCTGATTAATTTATGCAAAGTATTTCCTTAAGAATAAAATGAATTTAACACTGATTCTGTTTTCAAGTTTGGAACTGACTAGGGAATGGTTCAAAATTTTACCTTATTTCCCACCAATTTCTCAATGGGTCTTGGATTTGTGGGCTTTCTTAACTCGCCCTTTTTTCCCGAAGCATTTCCGGTAGCCATAGGCACAGCATTTAAAGGTGATGAAGGCCACTGTCAGCACGATGGCCAGGAGGAAACCGATCACGTCCAAGGAATGGTATTGGTACCAGGTGAGGTCGTGGGCTGCGGGGCGCAGGTGTGGTGCGCCCTTGTGCCTCATCACAAACTCCACCCAGAACACGGCCAGGTCCAGCGGCTCCACCGGGCGGTCCTTGTGAAGGCTGGAGAGGTGCATGATGTTCTCCTTGTAGCTAAACACAAAGACAGTTCTGTTATGCCTGGACCACCTGTGGTATGAACAATCCTCTCTTTATGCTTGTTGCTGCCTAGGAAGACTACCAGATTTTCCAAACTTGGGAAAGGAAA